TGAAATTTGAGAAGATAGAACCGTGTATTAGGCCGCAGCTTGGTCGTCCAGAGAAATGAAAGGTGAAAGATAGGCTGAAAAATCCATCGACGAGCGAGAGGAATGATAGCCGGAGCAAGTCGTCGATCTGAGAGGGCTATGAATCGGACACAGTTAGGCCAACGAGTTACAGACCGAGGCGTCTGAGAACCCATGGGCGTCCACCTCTGCGTACGCAAGGACGTTATATCGGCAATAAACCGGTCCACGCAGTAAAGGCTTTTTGCGCATGGCCGCTGAAGTTTTTGAGTGAAGGGTAAGCGAACGTGGTTGGTTTTATTAACGATATAAAGAAGTGTCAGGATTTTTATTACTTAGAGGACGACGAGGTACTTGAGTTAGTAGGTATCGTGCTCACGGGAAAGGCTGCGCTCTGTTATAGCAATAATGAATATAGTTGGCGAACTGTCGAAGAGTTTTTCTCGGGTTTAGAGGAGGAATTCAAGAGATATTTTAAAAGAGAGGACCTATACCACGTACTGCGGTTGCGGACATATGCTGAGAGGAAAACGTTGAGCGACTACCTGACCGCGTATCAGTGCACAAGTCAGGTGGTAATTTATAAAAAATGCTAACATTCCACCTTCGCTAGGTATTTATACGAGAAGTCGTATAATATACCGGGTGTTCCAGACCATCCGTACAGCCATTTTAAAATCGAAAATTCGTGTTTTTGTGAAAAATGTTTCAGATGAAAGTTGTTTACGACAAAGGGGGCCAACTATCTGTATAATTAGATTTGCCTTGAACATCGTTTTCAAGGTCATTTGAAGGTCGAATTGTTTTTTTTAAATGAGAACCCCTATTTTTGACACCGGATTCGGAAAGAGCGGGAAATTTTACGTTCAAAACGGTATTTTAAAATTTTTTTTCATGGCCTTGAGAAGGTCGATTTAAGGTCAAATGCTTGAAAAACTGCCTAAAAGCGTTTTTTTAATTTTTAAGATATCGAAAAATGACCTCTACAAAATTTGTTCAAAACAGAGTGGTCCACCCAATGCACCAAAAACCTTTGACCTTTAACCTCATTTTTAAGTTTTTTTTTTTTTTTTTTTTTTTCAAGGTCGAAGTGTTTTTTGTAATGGAAACCCCTCTTTTTGACCCCGGATTCGCACATAGCGCGAAATCCGATGTTTGGATAAGGTATTATGTTGAGTTTCGCGCTATGGCTGTACGGATGGTCTGGAACACCCGGTATATTATACGACTTCCCTGCGAGAGTTAAAGTGAGTGGGCTGCGAATTTGAGTACCAGTATGCAAGGAAAAAGAAATGGCTACCGCCATAGGCGGCCGATACCATGCTCATCTTGGACTCGGCTTATAGGATTTCAACCGGACCCACTAAAAGATCGGCAAGAACCACAGTGATAGAGGTTGAACAGAACGTGCTGGTGGCACGGGTTAAAAGTACGAATCGCCGGTGTTTCAAGAGACGGTCAAAAAAAAAGAGCTGTGACGCGTTGCAGAATGAGATATTGACGGCTGCAGTACAATGGAACTAGGACAACAGGCCAAACTCGTGTACAAATGCTGGCTCCGTTATCATTGCAAATAATGCTGTACCCGCCGTTACCCCAGCAGACTCGATTTCGGCGTCGCCGCAAGCTTCGATTCCGCCAAGTTTAATTCCCTAGCAAAGAGACGCGCAACAGAACGCCCAAGGTATGGGCATGAACTTGCGGGAATTCGGGGGAAATTATTTTTCGTGCGGAAGACGAGGGCATACGAACTCGCAATGTTCGAACCACTTGAATCACGAGGGAAGTAGGTCGCTTCCCACGTGTTATAGGTGCAAGCAACCTGGCCACTTCGCGAATACGTGTCTGAGTGCGGCGATCAGCTGCCGAATTTGTGGAATGATAGGATTTGTATTCCAATGATACGATTTGTAAAATCGTGCAGCAGGGAAACGCGCAGACGGGGGCCAAAGCTCGCTTGCCGATTCCTGCTTGAGTTTACTCGGGCGAGCATTATTGGTGCTTGAGGTGCACTGAAACAGGGTGGCTCACGTTATATCGGCTAGATCGGTAGAAAGAAATGACCGCAAAGAGGCCGAGTCAGGCAAGGCTGCGTTAATACTCGCAACCAAGCCGGCAACCCGAATTGTAAAAGGCCGTGAGCAGATAAAAGCGCGTAATCGGAGGTGCGTTTTCGGAGATACCTGGTGTTGGAGCAGAAGAGTTTTGGGATAGTTTGTCAAATCGCTACGAACGGTTTGAAAAGTCGGATATCGATGACTTTGAATTTTTGAAGGCGGTAGCAGGAACAGAGAGGAATAAAGTGGTGTTACAACGAGAATTCCGGCTGCTCTCGAACAAACAAATGAGAAAAGAGGTATTCGATCGAACGCATGTGGAGCGCGTGGGGACCGCAACGCCATAACACTCCCTGCAGCTGTTGGATAGCCGAAGTCGAGGGAAAGAGAATGTGCGAAAGGACAATTGGTATGAATCATCCGGTAGGCCACGCGAAAGTAGCAGAAACACCTTCCGTTTTAGGGTAGGGAAGAGTTGAGGCAAATTCGGGTAGTCAGTCCATGAACCAAAACGAAGACGATAACGTGACTTAGGTGGCTGTAGTAGAGAATAGATTTTTCCTCACCGGTAATATAAACAGGAAAGTTACCTGACGTTATTGGTTTCGGATGCACAGGTTACGGTAATGGGCTCGAGAGTAACGAGTAGGGTTGTGTCGCGATTGAGGGCGCCAACAATCTTTGTAAGAGAAGTCTCGGGTAAGCAACCGGACCCTTTAGATGACCTAAACCATTACCTTGAAATAGGAGAAAAGAGCCGGTCGTTGAACGTATAAGCGATAGCGCAGTGCACCCATAACTTGATCCTTGGCGCTGATTTCTGCAATGCATGGATGCAGGATATTAGCATTGAGAAGCGGGAATGGCGATCCAAGGGCTTTGGAGAATGGATCGCCTTCGCGAATAACACGATTAGATCGGCGCGCTTGTCCGCGGACTGCGCGGAATTCACGAACTATAGGGACATTCAGCGTGAGCAGGCGATTGCACTGATGTACAGCATAATGCCCTAACATGGAGCAGCCCCAGTCGTGACGAAGTTGATTAAGCATATAATAGACGTCGGGAATGCGAGACTGATTAAAACGCCTACACGACGAATGTTAGCACCGATCCTGAAGTTTATACAGGAAGAGACGACGAGAATGTGGCACGCGGATATAATTATGCCATCGGACAATCAATGGAGTAGCGCATCAGTGGTCGTGAAAAAGGCAGATGGGACGTATCGATTTTGCTTAGACTTTCGACCGGTAAACAAAGGAACAGAGATCGATGCATAACCGATGTCCAGTCTTGATTGAATTTTAGATCACCTGCGCGGCACCGTATTTTTATCAAAGGTTGATCTCAGGGCAGCATTCTGGCAAATTTCCTTGGACGAAAGAAGCAAACAGTATACCGCGTTTGTGGTTCCAGTGTTAGGACTGTGTGAATTCGAGAGAATACCATTCGGTCTGGTAAATGCGCCCATGACATTCATGCGTTTCATGATGTAATATTAATTAACATTGTAATATTTATGTGATTTTAAACCAGTTTTCTTTTTAACTATTGAACTCGAACTAAAGGAATATTAATAGATGCAGAAGGCATATCGCATGGCGCGATATTTAGTAATGATACTGTAGTGATATTCAAAAAGCCGGCCCCGCAATCATTTTTGACGATTATTATCCATATTGATTATTCATAAATTAAATTTACTGTTGGATTATAAGCCTCACACTCCTAGATATATAATACAAATATTTCAAAGTATACAAAACTTCAAAATTTTACGCTCATTGTTAGCATCATTTTTTTAACATAGGTAATTTAATCAAATACTCAAGACCTAATTTGTTTGATTCCTTTTTAGTGTACTGAAACATTTTTGTCACTATTTATTCTAAAAATATAAAATAGAAACAAATGTAGATCGCGTAGTAGAAAAAAAGATTGTTTCAATTCTCAACCTTTTAAAAATATCTTTCTTTTATAAAATCCATCAAAAATCTGTACGAATTCATAATTTTTAAATTTCAGTTTTTACATTAATGCAAATTAGTTTTTAAATTTTATAGCTGACTGATCCCACACTGTCGCAATTATTAACGACATTACGGTGACTTCCGACTGCAGGAGAACAGCATTATCCAATGCCGAGTCGACCAGCTATAATTTGAGTACGACGGGAGAAAGAACCGTGCAAGTGATATTAATTAATTGTATCTAAAAAATATCTAAAAAATCTAAAAAATCCAGCTGGAAATCCATGATAAATTTCCATCTGGATATCCAGCTGGATATCCAGCTGGATTCATATGGATTCCATATGGATTCCACATGGATATTTATCATGGATATCCAGCTGGAATCTAGGTGGATATCCAGGTGAATTTCTCGGCAAATCCAGGTGGATTTCTCGTCGAATCCAGATGGATTTTTCGGCAATTCAGATGGATTTCTGGCGAATGCTTGTGCATTTCTGAACATATCCATGTGGATTTTTTGGCAAATCCAGATGGATTTTTGAGTTAATCCAGGTAGATTTCTGAGTCAGTCCAGGTGGAGTTTACGGAAAATCCTGGTTGATTCAAATAATGTCACGGACAATTTGGTGGATAATCGGTCAATCTAGGTGTATTTTTTATAGAATTAAGGTAGACTTCATGACGTATTGAAAAGGATTTCAATGGAAACCCAGGCGGAATTTTGGGTGAATTTAGGTGGATTTTTTATATCAAATTCAGGTTGATTATGTCATGGAAATCATATAAATTTTTATTCATCACAGAATATATTCGTTTTAGATACATGAAAACTAAACATAATTCATTTTTTATATATTAATTGAAATATAAATAGAAACTAACAGTAAAATAAATATAATCGGAATGTTTCATTTCCATTAAGCCATTATCAAGATATTTTATACTCTAATTAAATATTTAATTTTTTCTTCTGGTTTTTTACACATGTGTTGATTTCTTCCGTTATAAAGGCATTTTGTTTTGCTATAATCTTATTTGCTTCTTCCGAAGTTAATTTTGATGTTTTATTAAGATAAGTTTTCATACACTCTGCAATGAAATAGTGATTAATTATACAACAACATTTCATAATTCGCAAGTTAACTAAAAATTATTACGTACTTGCAAGGGTTAAATGCTCATTCAAAGTGAGCGAAACTCTTCGATTCATGCCTCTTGGCGTATATGATGGTTTGTCACTGGAAACGCATCTTTTACTAAGGTTTTCCTCATAACCACCATTTTCATCCATATGTAATAAGCGCAACATATATTTAACATATTTACTTGGGTCTTTCGATTTAAAGCCATTCTTCCATTCATCAAGTAATATTTTTTTTTCTTTATTGAACCATACGTACGTAGTCTGAAATGAAAAATATATAATTCAATAATTATTTCCAACAACATATGAATAATAAGCGGTATGATGAAAATGCTACACTCACAGTCACATCATCTGAATTAGTTCCAGTCTCTTTATGTCCAAAATTGCAAAAATACGATGATTCGTCGTTAACTGAATCGTCTATACTACCATTAGTGTCTGTACTATCTTTATGTTTTGTCTTGAAATTCTTGAGATGACAGTTTCGTTTTACGAACATTGCTCGAGCTTGCAATGTCAACTATTCCTGAGTCCTCAGTTTCTTCATCATAAAAACGAGGTTTTTTTTGATGGGACCGTCGGCGATAATTGAAAATGGAAATCTAACTTCTCTAAAAATGTTTATTGAAAATATAGTAATGAATTAATTTCATTAGTATTGCATATTTAAAACTCGTTCAATCCACAAATTACAAGGTAGACATATGTGAATTAAAAATTCCCTGCGAGTAAAATGTATTCTATTTTATTGCCTACGTTTCGAGAACATGGTTTATGCTCCAGTTCAAGGCAAGGACAAACATAAATATTATATTAAGAATTTAAAAGGCGTAGTAACAAAAAATCTTAACAAGGTCAATTTGCAAGACCGAAAGCGGAAATTCATAGTGGGCCAATTCCATCTCAGATCATGCAGAGCTCCCCACACACCTGTCACCAAGCTACTCCAAAGTATTTTTTTATTGTTCTAGGTCAAAAATAAGAGGACCCGTATTTTTCTTTTTTCTCTCAGATGCATAGTTCCGTCAATAATGCAATCGGAAAATGCTCTGCTGAAAAGGGAAAATTGAGAAAATTTTTCCAATTAAATTTAGTTTCCTCAATATTTTTTTTATTTTTCGATACAATTAAATAATTTTTATGTCATCTATAGTAGAAACGAAGGTCTTCAAGTCTAATTTATCAAAAATATGAATGTATGCATTTTTCGGGAGAAAATGCATGTTTTCGAAAAAGTGCATCTTGGAGAAAAAATTGTGTATCTCAAAAAGGCCATAATTTTTTGCGCTCAAATTTTTTTTATATATTCTTAGTACCAATACCTTCAAATCCATTCGATCAAAATTTGCTGTTTTTTCGTTATATCGCTTAAAAAAATTAAAAAAAAAAGTTTTACATTTTCAAGTCAAACGCGATAAATACATTCAGGAATTCATGTTAGCGACTATTTAAGTGAAATGAGAAGCAAATATTTCTGTATAAGTATGTACTTTATCAATAAAACATTGTTTCATTCGGTCATCTGTGTTTACGTACGTAGTTCATAAACACAGACGATCGAATATATAACCGAATAGAGACCGTGAAATATGTAAAATTTCACCGCTTTTATTTAGAATTCAGCGTTAGTGTATGCTTGACTGTCTCGTTGTCAGCATGTCAGCTATTTATTCTGTAAAGAGAGTGAAGTGCCCAGATTATTTCAATGTTCACAAAAAGAGTGTATATCAGTGTCGAAATGTGATTTTTCAAAAAATTGGTGATTATGCTGACTATTTGCAAATAAAGTTCAAAAATACTAATATTGATGCAACTGATCGTGTGTGTAGCAATTGTTATAAACTTATAGTCAATGACTACAAAATAACAGAATTGGATAACTACAATAAACAAGAAATAGATGAACCCGAAGAAATGCAAGTTGAAAGCCCAGATAATGATTTTGTACTAGATACCTCAGTCTGTGTTGACGAATTCAACAATGAAATAGTCTGTCAGTTAGAATATCCAGTATCACCTTTACGTAGCAAACGTAATCTCAAAAATACAAATGTTGCAAGATATGTTTTAAAAAAAAAGAGGGAATTTGTCTCATCTTTTTCTGAAGCCACATGTCAAAAATTACAAAAAATATACGATGTGCAAGTTGAAGAGTCAACAAATGAATCAAATAATTTTTCTGCTGAATTACAAGATAATTTTTCAAAAGCTTTTGATCACTGTTCGTCTATCTCTGAAAAGATAAGACTTCTAACAATTATAGTACCTGTATTATCAAAGTTTCAAATTATAACGATGTTTCCACAAGTAACTGTCTACATGATAGATAAAGCAAGAAAGCTTGCTTCGAACGGAGGTAACAATTAATAAATCGCTATACAGTGCATAACTTTTTAGTCATTTAATAATTAATTCTGTTTAATTCACGTGAGAGCTTTATTTTATAATCTATTTCTAGGAATTTATTGTGAGCCAGACAAATACAACGGGCATCCAATAGATACAAAAACGAAAGACATATTTATGGAATATTTTTTAAATGACGACTTTAATTGTTCAAGACAAAGTCCAAATAAATCAGATGTTATCACGGTGATGGAAAATGGTGAAAAAGTAAAAAAAGTAAAGCGCTTCTTGACACGAAGCATGAAAGAAGTTTATGTTCTATTGAAAAAAGAGAATCCTGGAATAAAAATCAGTAAATCGAAATTTTATTCCATGCGTCCGAAGTATGTTTTGATAAATCCATTGAATGATGTGTGCTTATGTATATATTGTGCTAATTTTGAACTTCTTCTAATCGCTTTGAAAAATTTCATCGGTCAAAGTAGTGTCGAGCTTTCAACTTTGCGCTCTAAAGTCCTATCTTCTGTTATATGTTCATCAACCACAGAGTTTTGTTATTTTAAAGAATGTGATTCATGTCCTGGTGTTAAGGGTGTGAATTTTGAATTACTGGGGCTTGATGAATTAAACATTGAAAAAAATATAACTTTCGCTGTGTGGAATAACGGCAATTTAGAAACTCGTTCAGTATCTATGACCACATTCATGGAAGAGTTAGCCAATCATACAATCACAATAACTTCTCATTTACGTATCAAAGAGGTACAGCGAATGGAAATCAAAGCTGAGAAAGAAAGGGTGACGTTAAATTATCAACATTTGCTGATGCATATAGATTTTGCTGAGAATTGGTCTGTAATTTTGAAAAATCCAGTTCAAGGGAATCATTGGGTGAATAAACAGATTTCAATTTTCACTGCTGTTTGCTACATAGGCGGAATTACAAAGAGTTATACTGTAATTAGTGAAGACTTAAAACATGATTATTCTCATGCATTGGCAGCAATACAAATAATTCTTGAACATATAACTAGATACACACAAGAAACGTATGGAAATTCGATTGATTCTATAACTTTAGTATCTGATGGCGCTGCAAGTCATTTCAAAAATAGATTCCAGTTAAATGAATTTTTAAATGCAAGTATGAGTAAAAAATGGATATTCTCTGCTACTGGTCATGGAAAGGGTGCTGTAGATGGTATAGGTGGTTTGGTAAAGCATTATGCAACAGTGCATAATTTACGCAGTACTGAATCTGATGCTATTCAAACTGCTAAAAGTTTTGTTGAAAATGTATCAAAATACACAACTTTTATAGAGCTGATTTTGATGGAAACTGCAGAGATAAACAATTTTCGTAGTAGTCAAATGGAGCAAAGACACAAATGCCAGAAATATCAGGATATTCAACGTTGCCACATGTGGAAATCTGTTGTCTCGGAAGGGAGGAGCGAATGTTTTATAGCTCGAACGGCTGCGCATCCATGGATTGAAGTGAAAAAAGATGAAAAAAAAAAGAAAAGTACTCATAAGAAGAAAAACGAAAATGTAAACAAGGGCAAGAAAGTGAAAGTTGTATCTAAAAAAGTGAAGAGAGTTGTAAAAGTAATCAACTCAAACAGAAAAAAATGATCGTGTAATTTTACATTTCTTGCAGACATGATTGAATAAAAGTGAGCTTTTTCTTTGAGTTACATGTTATTGTAGTTCAGTTATTAACCTACATAGTCGCTAACATGAATTCCTGAATGTATTTATCGCGTTTGACTTGAAAATGTAAAACTTTTTTTTTTAATTTTTTTAAGCGATATAACGAAAAAACAGCAGATTTTGATCGAATGGATTTGAAGGTATTGGTACTAAGAATATATAAAAAAATTTGATCGCAAAAAATTATGGCCTTTTTGAGATACACAATTTTTTCTCCAAGATCCACTTTTTCGAAAACATGCATTTTCTCCCGAAAAATGCATACATTCATATTTTTGATAAATTAGACTTGAAGAACTTCGTTTCTACTATAGATGACATAAAAATTATTTAATTGTATCGAAAAATAAAAAAAATATTGAGGAAACCAAATTTAATTGGAAAAATTTTCTCAATTTTCCCTTTTCAGCAGTGCATTTTCCGATTGCATTATTGACGGAACTATGCATCTGAGAGAAAAAAGAAAAATACGGGTCCTCTTATTTTTGACCTAGAACAATAAAAAAATACTTTGGAGTAGCTTGGTGACAGGTGTGTGGGGAGCTCTGCATGATCTGAGATGGAATTGGCCAGTGATGATAATAATACATTGCAACGATTGCCAAAAATCGTTTGGACTCGCGTGAGCTACTAAGCGTGGCTGAGCGTAACAGCCGCGATCGGTTTGGGTTAGAGAGAGAGAGAGAGGGCGCGTTAGGGGCAATGACCGGGAGGGGAGCGTTAGCGAGCCAGTATGACTGTGTCCTTCAGTCAGGCGACCTCGCAGCTCTTTGCATTGGAAAATAAAGTGTTCTTTCCCAGCCGAGTGATACCGTGAGTTAGAACAGATAATTAGCGAGTGACGAGGCGAGTGTGCACACTGCGGAACGTGTGCACCACTAGTGGTACAGATAATTGTGAGTGGAGTGCCGAGTGCGCGCACTGCTCAACGTGCGCGGCCTCGGCAGCTGCGAGATCATCCTCAGCGGCTTCAACAGCAATGCAACAGCCCCAACGGAGAAGCAGTCGCAGAGGCAGTTCGTCGTCTAGCAGTATAGTCGGATACGGTTGGCCACCGTATCCCCGTCGATTTAGCGGTAGGTGCACAGCACTTTTCAATCGTGTTAGCGTGCGATCTCGCGCAGCGTGCGCGGCGCATTTATATGCAGCGAGCGTGCGAATAGTTCGCGACGATCGCGAGATCTACTCTCTCTCTCCCCGTTCGAAGTATTGTGTTGAAATAGCGTGCGTAAGTCTCTCGGCAAATTCGTCCCTTATACAAGTTTAAATGCGCCGGTAATCTAGCACGAATCGTGCGAGCGTAGTAGGAGCTGTTCGTCGACCGAGGTGTTTGCGGTGTCCGACGGAGCGCTAGTAAGCTAGCGCACCAGCGCCACTGTGCGGAGGGATCGCGCACCCAAGTTAGATCGCTAAGTGGACACGGCGCATGCGTACAACGGATCGAGGTGAGTAAGTGTGCTAGAAGCATACAGTTAACAGCGCACCGTCTGGCTGTATTGAGGACTACGATTACCCGAGATTTGCGGCTAGGCGGCAGCCTGTTACAATATGTATAAAAAGAAAACGTCTTTAAAAATTTTATTGTAATATTTATGTTTGTTCTTACCTTGAACCGGAGCATAAACTATGTGCTTGAAACGTAGGCAATAAAATAGAATAAATTTTACTTGTTGGGAATTTTTAATTCACATATGTCTACCTAGTAATCATATAACTTTCGAAATGTATGTTATTATTACTTTTGCTCGAGGGATGCATTTTCTTTTTCAATTCCTCAAGAGAAATGTCATCAATTTCGATGTTGTTACTATTATTGAGCGACCTATCATCGAAAGGACTTTGTGCTTGAGATGTTCGTTCGAAAGATCTGTTTTCAAGCGAGTTATTTATATCTTCTTTGGGATCTTCCTTATGACTAACTATTGGAGACACTTCTGGGTTACTATTATTAATCGTGTGCTGCGGGGTGGAACATTGCAACCTCTTTACCAATGGGCTCTTGAAAAACAATTCATGTTATTTATATTAACTTTGTTATTAATATTACTACTTTCATTGTTATTAATTTTATCACTACCACTAAGGGTGATCCAAAGACTACAGTGAAAGTTAAAACTATTTAAAAAATAAACTTGTACAAAGAAGTATATGTCTTATAATCAAGAATATCATCCAAACGTTCCACACTTTTCAAATTTTAAGTTTATAATTTTTCCCGGATAAACGAAATAAGATATCGAATTCTGATGAAGACCTTAAGAATGTTTATTATTTAAGAAATGCTCCCAAAGTTTTTCGTTTCAATATATTTAAAATTTTTTTAGTATAAGCAAGCTAAAAACAATAATCACTTTTTCATAAATAACTTTTTTTAAAACATAGATTTTTGAAAATATACGTGAATCTAGTTGAATCCAGATGTTTTTTTCATATGGATTTTCATGATTTCAAGATATAGAATTTTCTAAATCAATAAGATTTTAATATATAATTACATATGCAATCCAAATGATTCAATGGGGATTTATATGGAAATCAACATAGAAATTCATGTAAAATTCAAATGGATTTTTACCTGGTTTATTCAACAATACGTAATAAACACCAGTTTACCATTTTTCGCGATCTATATAGGGGTACCCTATGAAGGTTAAGGTTTGTGTCTCCCCATTTTAGTTAGTCTTATAAAGTATATATAAATGTTGTACTTACCATAGCATCCAATTTTTTCTTCTCATCTATTTTAGCTAACTCTTCGAATTCTTTATCGTATTTCAAAATATTTATTTGTAATCTTTCATTGAGAATACGATAGGTTTCTATTCTCTCATTTAAAACGGCGTTATTTCTTCTCAGCCTTAAATTTTCAGTTTTTAATTGTTCACATTCTTCTTCTAATTTTCTTAAATAGACAGCTGAGCGACTTTCTTCATTTTTTATCGGGTCAGACATGTTTACGGATTTACGCGAGTCATTTTTCGCACTGTTACTCGTATCCAACTGTGAATCATGGATCGCATGGGGCTGTTTCAAAATCAATGTTTGAGATTGAAGAAATTTTTTCTTCGCCTCAATAACTTCTCTTTGTGCACCAATATCAATTTTCTACAAAGTTTATGTATGCAAATTTTTATTTTAGAACCCACAGGCTAAGAATTTTTAGTTTTTAATAGTAATTGAAGGACTCACCAATGGCTTTTCATTAATTGTCCTCTTACTAATTTTTTTTATTGGCTGAAACTTTTTTGCTTGGACATTGATCTCATCTTCACTGCTTTCCGATTCGTAATAGGGTTCGATGACAGAATCATGTAGATGAGGAAATACTCCTCTTTTTTTACAAAATTTCTGAAGTTCTTCTTCAGTGTGAATCACTAAAAACAATTCATTATAAATATATTCAATTAAGTCATATCATAAAAATCTCCAATGAAATCATTGTCTGGATTAAATAGACTACATTATTATATTATTATAAGTGGTAATCGATGCATGTGGATGGTATAGATACGTTCGCGTTTCGGTCAAATAAAAATGATTATTTATTAGAGTACTATTAATTTAGTTCTGAAAAGATTTTCAGAGATGAAGTAATTATTTTTTCTCACCTTTCTTCAATTTTAATTGATGATTTATTAAACCCCTCACCCGCGTAAGCGCACTTTGCAAGAAAGGTACAACTGCTATACGAGTAGGTTTCATAAACTGTTGACAAATTAATTTTCAGAAAGCAACAAATGACAAGAAAGTGCATATCAATTAATTTCGACTACTACTATAACGCGCCAATTTTAGAACAAATTAGCTCTTTATCTACCGTTCGGGGATTGAATGCCTTTTTACAAAACGCTTCGAGTCAAACGACGGCAGTATACAGATGCACAGACCCAGCCCAGTTGCTCATAAATATTTGTATCAAAACAGTAATAACTGGAAATCGTTACAAACGTAATACAATTTTAATTATTATCGTAAGACGATTGATTATAACTAAATTGTTCAACAAAAATGTTACGGTCGATAGAGATACCTTAACCTTCGCACCAAAACCCGTGTACGCAAGATAATACAGCGCACGCGCCCGAGAATTATACCCGACACCAGTAGTCACGGGCCCAAGCTAAGAGTAGCACGTGCCTTAGCCTCGTTAGTGCGTCTCCCGTGGCTGACTCTGGTGAACAACATCAACGAAGCACCGCAACGAGAGCCAAACACTTGCCACCTGGATTTGCCGAGAAATCCACCTGGATTGGCACAAAAATCCACCTACATTGGCCGAGAAATCCAGCTGGATTAGCAGAAATACATTGGAAAATACATTGAAATTCCATTGGAAATGACATTGGTACTTTTGTAATTTTTTCCTCGGAAACAATGAACTTTACAGAAAAATAGCTAGGGATAAAATGTTCTTATAGTTGTTAAAAGAATTCGTGTAAACTTTGTAAAAACGATTTCCATCACTGGCGTCATTTTAAAAGCAACAAGAAAAAAATCAATCTTCAAATGATATTTTCTCAAAGTTCAATATGTATACCACGGATAAATGAGCTTCTTCAGGTTAACCCATTAACGACCAAAGACCTCATTTTTTGGGCATGTTTTTGATCGCGAAATTCATTTGTAAAACGAAACAATAAATTGATCTAGGGTACCGTCCTTACGTTTCTGAGTGTGCCGAATTCGAATCCGGACTGAAAATTTAAAGATTTTGCGTACGAAATTAAATATGGCGGATTTTTTATAAAAAAACTAATGAATTTTTTTCTTGCATAAAAAGCGTCTATATCGGAACCGCTCTTCAACCACGAGTGCACGGAATTGTTGAACTTTAACAAAAAATTTTTGTACTTAAGCTTTTTTTTCTATAATAGCTGATAAAATGCAAAAAATCTGAAAAAAATGCGTTTTTCGTTACCATTCTTTTTCTCAAAAACTATGAGGTTTAGAAAAAAGTTGTATAGAACAAAAATGTCTTAGAATTTGTCCAGAAATATTTTTCAATTTTTTCCGATTTTTTGGAGAAAAACCACAAAATTGAAATTTCCAAAAAATTTTTCGAAAAAATCTGAAAAAATTTGGTAGCGCTCTTTGGCTTATTTTGAGACTTTTTTGTTCTTTTAAAATTTTCCCCACAGTCTATAGTTTCCGAGAAAAAAAATTGAACAAAACATCTGCATAATGTTCGATAATTTTTTTTCTTGGAAACTATAGACTGTGGGGAAAATTTTATGAGAACAAAAAAGTCTCAAAATAAGCCAAAGAGCGCTACCAAATTTTTTCAGATTTTTTGAAAAATTTTTTGGAAATTTCAATTTTGTGGTTTTTTGAAAAATCAACAATTTTCTCCAAAAAATCTGAAAAAATTTAAGATTATTTCTGGACAAATTCTAAGACATTATTGTTTCATACAACTTTCTCCTAAACCTCATTATTATCATATGATAATAATACATCCCAAGAATTTTGCAGACATTTGAAAATAATTATTAATTAGAAATTGAAAACATTTGAAAAATGACTGCATGTATATGTTGGATTCTTCTGTTTCATTTTTAACTCTTTTTAATTATCTTGTCACAATATACTTCTATTTAAGCATTAATGAACTTGATATGCATCCAAAGAATTTCAAAACAAAAATTATGGGATCAAAGCTTGAATTTTCCTGTGATAATGGAGAATACAGTATTGAGATAAATCAGATTTTGAACAAATTCAATTTGAAATAATATTACGTTTAAGGTATATATAATACTACATCCAACTCTTGGATCCAACATCCAACATTAGGATTCATCGAACACTTTTTTTTGCAAATTTCAGTATTCGGTTGGCTTGAATCAAAAAATTTTGTCAATTAAGTCATTCGATCAAAATATATTTTTTTGAATATTTAGTTTAGACATATTTCTAGATGTATACATTGTGACGGTAAACGTCAAATTAGCGCTAATAATCTAACCTAATTGCTGCCTGCGGGGGCAGCACCTACCGGGGAGACGAAAAACGTAACGAAGGAATTCGGCACGCGAGCAGACGAAACGCGCGCGATTGAAATTGAACCAGTGAGCGTTTATCCATCAACACGCTCGCCCGTGTATACGAAATCAGCTACCGCTACACGAGTCACCGGAGTTGAATTCCGTAAGCAGAGTATCCGCACCAGAGCCGATTTTGGGAGACTGCTGTTGCCGAGCTGCCGTGCAGATATCAAGAGTGCAGACCGGGGCCAGCACAGAAGCGTCGTGTCCTGTGGCTTTGAAAGTGTGTGTGAGGTTTCGCCATCGAGGGCGAAGCCACGTGCGCGCGAGTTCGCGATCCGCGACACGAACTAACATACAGACCGCTTTCACGCAGTGTGACTGGTCACCGAGATCTTCGTTCGTCTGCCGAATAAAGGTAAGCTGGCCAGCTTAATCTTGAGATCGCGATCGCATGCGTAACAATTAATTTTCCGTGCTCGAAGCGTGCATGTAATAGCTCTACGGACAAAGAGCAGCGAGCGTCCCGACACTGCATGTTGTTGTCGAGCGAGCGCCGATATAAACATAAACACGCGGGCCGATCTAATGTAGCGTTTTAAGAGATAATAAAGAGTTTTCGTACACGATATTAACAAGTACTTTGAGAGCGTTCTCTTCACTCCCGTAGATAGTTGGTTGACTGACACCCGTTTCCTCTTGCTCTCCGACTTTCTTATTTGATACAGGTGATAGCGAGCGCGTTTACGCGATCATCGTAATAAAAATAATTAAACGGTAAGCAACCCCGTTACGACATATATATTTTTTACTCACTTTCAATACTACATATATATTTACACTAGTGGGACTTCGCCCCCCTACTCGCTCCGCTCGTCAACCCCCCAAAGGAGAGTTGAGTAAGATTGAGTTACATGTTGCAATTTAAAAAATAGGAACTGATAATATTATATTCAATGAATGATATTATTTCCACACCACCATGGAGGTAAATATCATGGCGCGTTTATTTTTATAGTGGTATCCCCCGTAGGCCTAATCCACTGAAAATATTTTTTAATATATAAACTGTTCTATATTGAATACCTCGATTTATAAAACCTTTTTTTAAGTCGATAACTCACTATATTTGCTTATTGCGTATACATAATATTTATTTTATTTTTTTATTTATTCAATATGATATTATAATATTTAATATGATAATATAATTTTTTTATTTGTCATATAGTGTCAATATTTTGACATATTTTCTTTTATCATATGTAACGGAGAAATCCGGCCGTACCCGTCTGGGTTGCTCGCGACCGTCCGCACAAATTATTTATTCGGGGATTCGGGAAGCAAAAGACGTTCCCACGACTGAATAACGCGTCGAGCATAAACACGTTAAGCGCACAGATTCGAAGTCGGGATGAGGAGTGATACAGCGGCGAATAAACACAACAGCGGATTAATACGCTAGTCTTTAATTGTCAACAAACGATTACAATACGGCAACCTCGGACTTACACACTACGAGCGGTACAATAACAAACGCGAACGCGAAGGAGAATCGGTGGCTGGTCAGCCTGCCGATTCCCTTATAAAAACTAGATATTATACAAATGCCCGACAAACACTTTCCGCTGATAGGCTATTAACGGGTAGCCAGCAGGTCTGCTGTACTACCAACCATAGACTGACGCCCAAACATGCAAGAGAGAGAGACAAGAGAAAAGTACGGCACCGACCTCGACCTTCAGCCTCTCTGACGGCTGGAGCGCTCTGCACCGTGACGTCACTGGTGTGCTCCCGACCGTATTGCTGGTATATTTGTTGTCGCCGCTATCTGTCCTCTGGCTCGTCCTCTCGCTCGCTCCGCAATATTGCTGCCTCGATCTCAACCCGTTGCTCGTTGTTTCTGCCGCCTCCTCGTTGCTCGGCGCTGCAGCACGTCAAGTTCCTCGCGCGC